TTCTGTTATTTGGGGGTAAAGTCCAATGCATCACCTTGCATCTGAAGTCTGCTGAGCAGACGAAGTTTGCATACGTTGTATGAAGTTTCATACAAAGTGCTAAACTTGCTTTTCTTAAAAAAAAAAACAACTTTAATTTTTAAAACTTAATCTTATCTCTTAGCTTGTTGTATAAATCCAGCTCATTTGACAAATGTTCAATGTATGGGGTGAACCCAGAAACTGGGCTAATTCAGTAAGCAGGTTGTGTGATGTGTGAACCTAACTCTGAGATAACTATCTATCCATTACTCTCAGCTCAGTTGGTATAATTTCTAAGGAAAAAGTTCAGGATTGACCTTTTTCACCCATCAGTTCTTTAAATAAAGGAGTCAGTGGTCTTCCAGAGGTCTCTTCTGAGTAAGTGATGAGTCCCTCTTTCACGGCCTTGTAGCCATTCAGCACGACCACAGGAGTTCTTCCCAGCCAAATTGTGTAGACATTCCCATAGATGTTTGTTAACTGAAAGATTGGTAAAGGCGAATTAGAAAAATAATTTAGTTTAGCACTGCCAAGTCTAAATGAGAGATCCCACAGAAGGTCATGGAGAATAACAGGGATAAGATCTGTGGGACTTCCAGATCCAGACAGACAGGCAGGTACTGGCCAATCAACCAGACATCGTGGTAGTAGACAAGGCCCAGCAGACAACAGTGGTGATAGATGTAGTGGTGCCAAGTGATAGCAACATCAGGAAGAAGGAGTATGAGAAGCTGGAGAAGGACCAGGGCCTGAAGGAGGAACTAGAGAGGATGTGGAAAGTCAAAGCCAAAGGGGTCCCAGTGGTAGGAGGAGCACTCGGGGCTGTGACTCCTAATCTGGGAGAGGGGCTCCCCCAGATCCCAAGAAGAACCTCAGAGCTCTCTGTCCAGGAGAGTCAGTGCTAGGAACAGCTAAGATGCTGTGCAAAACCTTCAAACTGCCAGGCTTCTGGTAGGAGACTCAAGACTGAGGAAGACACACAGCACCCATAGGGGGGAGAGGGGATTTTTTTTTTTGGTGGAGCTAAAGAAGGTACAGAGGAGGGCAGCAAAGATGGCCCAGGGGCTGGAGCAGGTTCCCTATGAGTAGGGTTTCCAGACATCAGTCCTCCTTTTTGTCCTCATGTCCTCTGTCTGGCAGGCACAGCCTTAAAATGAAATATTGTCTGGCTTTCTGAATATCTCTTTCTTCCCAGCAAAGTCCTTCTCTAATAAGTGCTACCCACAAGTTAACAACCTTAATTAGTTTAATTGGTACCTTCCAACCACTGAGCCACTGCCTGACATTGACAAGATCTTAAATAATTATACATTTGCCTCCTAACCAGCTCCAGCACCTTCCTGCCACTGAAAAATTGGTCTTTCTGATACTGGAAAAAGTAATATGAAATACATATAGGCCTAAGTACTTTTTTTCCCCGCCCCTCCCCTCCCCTCCCCTCCCCTTCCTTCCTTCCTTCCTTCCTTCCTTCCTTCCTTCCTTCCTTCCTTCCTTTGCAGTTTTTCACTGACATTTTTGTCACGGATGCGAGGAAAGTTAAACATTGGTATATCCTCCCCCCAGCCCCATTTGTTCTCTTTTCCAATTGTCAGTGTCCTCCTTTGCCTGTTCAATTATCTGCTACCCCTACCTAGGAGGAAAGGTTGCAACATTTGGAGCTTTTTAGTCTAGAAAGGAGGTGAATCAGAGGGGACGCGATTTGAAGTGTACAAAATTATGCATGGTATAGATAAAGTGGACAAGGAGAAACTATTTTCCTCTTCCCAAAATACTAGAACTGGTGGTCACCCAATGAAATTGAATCTTGGAAGAACTGGGACAGACAATTTTTTTTTTTTTGACAGAACATGTCATTCATCCTTGGAATTTGCCTCCACGAGATGTGGTGCTGGCTACCAGCTTGGTGGGCTTCAAAAAAGGGTTGGACCACTTCATGGAAGTCCTGGGAATCAAAGGCTATTGGTCTTGATGGCACAGGTCCACCTCTGAAAGCCATCTTCTGGGATACCCGTGGGCTTCCTTGGGCAGTTGGTGGGCCACTGTGAGAACAGACAGCTGGACTAGATGGGCCAGGGGTCCCATCCAACAGGTACAGCTTATGTTCTTAAAATGGGACTCCAAATATTATAGAGGTGCTCCTTGTTATTCAAGGGGGTTCTGTTCCAGGGAGGCAATGAAGGATAGGAAGGCCTGGCGCGATATGGTTCACAGGGTCACCAAGAGTTGGACACAACTTAATGACTGAACAACAACAACAACACCTTTATCAGAAACAATGAGGTCTGATCTCTTTTTAACAATGGTGGATATGTGAAATTGCAGGTACAAGAATTGCGGATAATGGGGGTGCATTTCAGGGAACCAGGATATCTTCAGCTTGTATCTCAGCTTTGAACTCATTATTAAGTGCTTCTATAAGTCAGTGGTTGGATTCATACCCTGTTCTAAACCAAGATGCAAATTAATTTTGCATTCTAGACAGGCCAATGGCTCTGTTCACACAGCAGGTTTAACCAGATCAAGTAAAGATGAAAGATCTGGCTTCATTCACACAGCATTCAACCCTAAGCCATGTTAATGTTAACCTAGACTTTCGTGTGGGTTAGCCTGTTGCAAAAACCCCAGCCTATTTAATTAGGTGAGGAATGGGTTCATTTTAACACATAAAATAAGAAAATGAATTCTGTCACCACAAGGCAGCCACAGTCTCCAATTTACATACAACACCAAGCAATAGATTGTAAACCACAATGCTGCGATCACACATCACGCTAAGCCAGAAGTACCTAATTTTTCTTGGCCAGAAGCCACACTCAATCTCGGTGATACATTCATGGCTGCCCTTCGAAAAGTAATAAATGAGTTTAGGCCCAAAGCTAAAATTGATTCCATTTCATTTACCTGTTAACTTAATTAAAATTAAATGTATTTAATATAATATTCCCCAGTCACATAGTGAATGATTTCCCCCTTCTGTTACGTTAGAAAGCCAAATTCAGATGCATCCGATGCTCTGGGGAGAGGAGTTACCACGAGGCCTAGGGCCTCAGATTTGTATCCCTACACTAAGCAATAATATGGTTTGTCTGCTCTTGGTTTAGCATGAAATCAGTCGGCATCTCTTATCCTATTCCTCCCTGTGTTTTGCAATACAGGGATAATACTCCTGGTCTGCCTCACAGGACTGTTGTAAGGGTTACTGAGGTCATGCACACAACGCTCTATCGACACAATTCCCAGTATTAATATTGTTCTTTTTGTATACAAATTGATTAATTATACATTTTTGAATGCAATCCTTGATGCCCAGAGCAATAGTATTTTTCCATCTCTCAATATAGCTCTCTTAGCTATTCCCCCCACCTGGAATAACCAAACATAGTCAAATTCCACAATTTTGGAATATAATTCAAAGCAGCACCAATGCTTTTAACATGGAAACATTTACATATATTTAAAGCAACTAAGGTTTCTGGTCCATATTGAGCTATCAAAACATGCTTGATTATAATGTTCGCTATTGTCTACTAAGACCAAAAAAACCCCAAACCTCTGAAATCCTTGAAATTCCTTAATACGGTCATTACAAAGTAATTGATCTAAAGCTAGTATTCCAGCCTCTGTCCATACTTTCCAACAGAATGTCTTACCACCTATTTTTAAACAATTATTCCATAAATTAAATATTCATGGGGAACAGCATATTTTGGAAATGGCCAATGGAGTTCTTTACCCATTCTGTTTTCTCCATGATTCAGAAGTTGAGAAAGGCCTTTTATTTTGGGGTGATGAAGTAACTGAGATTATGTAGCCAGAAATCTTGTGCGCATATCATATATTATATATGCCTCCTGGATTTTTCCTCTTCCTTCTACTCTGTGTAAATGTGTTTTTTTTA